AAGGGAGATGAGACTTTTAGTCCGTGAAGTGCTAAACAAACAACTTCCATTTAAGGAGAATGTGGAAAGAATTTCATAATTTTTGATGAATGAAATAGAAAATCAAAATAATATGAATAAGAATGATAGAGATCTGATGAAGGTTAAGAAGCTCATGTGTGTTCACTTGACTTGAACAGCTTCTGATAGAACAAAATGATATTCTTGATCAACCTGAGTTACCAGATTTAGTGCCGAAGCTAGAACTTTTGATTGTTTTCCAAACGATCATTTAATTGATTGAGCTTTTGTTCAGCTCATTCTCCTCCCTAAAAAATCCTTCATCCTTCTTATCTCTCTCTTATTGATCATATTATTTCATGATCTTTTGCTCGTTTCCAGACAATATTCTCTTCTTTAGAAGCAATCTCTTTGTTCTGTATCGTTTTCCTTGAACAAGTGTAACAAATCCTATGGAAACTTCTGCCGTTTACCTCTGGCAACAGGCATTATTGAGGTTCCTCCCACTATCTCACTGGTGATCATCAGTTTCATCATTTGTTGATTTCGGCCACAAATTACGTCGAAGCATCTCAATTCTCTCGAACTTCTCATTTTCAAAGACACTCGGTCATTTTTTTACTAGTAAATAGGAGGCACAAGAGAGAAATAAAGGGGGGAGGAAACGATTGCAAAAAAGAAAAAAAAGCAAAACTTCAATTGATGTGTGGGAGGATAGTACTACTGACGAAGCATTCACGCCTCTTGCTGTTGCCGATTTGGATCATCTAGATCTGCAGAAGACCATGATGATGATGTTGAAGCTGTTGCGAACTTCAACATAGTGAAAGAAAGAGGTGAGTAAGAGAGGATAAGAACGAGAGAAAGGAAAAAGATTTGACACAGCCTTTCACTCGGCTTCATCTGTAAACAGAACGACAATCTATGAAACTCATTCAATGAGCACATTCAAAGATTTCTTTGATCATTAAAATTCTATGAGAATATGAAGACAAAACACATTCGAAGAATAAAATTCAAAGGACAGCTTTTCCATTCTCATATCAAGCAAGTTCATATCATTGAAGATGATCACGGAACAAGATGAATATGAGCTCAATGAACTATTTGGTCCAAAACACAACCGAACACTGTTCTGATAGAAAACAAAATGAAATGATAACGTGTTTCCACGTCAGAATCCACGTTGAAGATGCAAGAAATAATTTGAAGTTCTTGAAGAAACAGTTTGTATAAAGACAAATTCTCTTGACAAATCTCAGTATTTGCTCGAAAGAAAAAGTTCATAAAAAAAAGTCGTTGCCTTCAAAATAGTTTTGAAATTCGTTTCTGCCGGGGATCGTATTCGTTTCATCAGGGATATTTCTCAAAAGTACAAATGCTCACCTTTCCGAAGCGGTTTTCAGCAACTACGGTATATTCACCGGCTTCTTCGGGATTGATCATTACTATTTTCAAAACAGCAAGAGAACCTTTAATAACATGATAACTTGTTTGCTGTTCATTTCCAGTAATACCTTTATATGTAATTTGCATTCGAGTTCCGTGAAGTTGAAGCGGATTCCCATTATACCTCCAGAAAATCTAAAAGATTCTTCTGTTGACAAATACTTGCAACTCCACTAACTCTTGGTTTGGGATTGCCGACAATGTTCGCTTGGAGAACAGCATCAGTTCCTTCCGTTAGTCGAAGACCTCTCAGTGCCGTTCTGACTATTGGTTTGCCTCCTGGCCCTTTAGTATCCAAAGCTGCCAGTTCCGGTTCAGTTTCGGATTCTGAGATTCCCCATGGTGTATCAATACTTTCTTGATCAGTTCCATATCCCTGACGTTGAAGTTGTTTCTGAGCAACGTTAGTTCCTCGTCCAGCCTGAGTAGTATAGCGATATTTTAAATTGATACTCAGTTTACCTGATTAAGCATGACTTGTTTACGGTCTCTGGTCAAACGGCTTTGCTCATCAGAAAACCAACGATCATACTGTTCTTTGGGTAAAAGCTGAAATAGTTCAGTTCTCTAATAAAAAATCTTGTTTGCACCTGAGCAATTGAAACAGCTTCTCCATGTGGGTTCGTAGCCTTGCAAGAGTATTCTCCAACATCATCATTGAACATTTGAGGCAATGTTAATGAGAGGATTCCTGTCTGTGGCTCATGTTCCAGTTTTGCTCTTCAAAAGCAGCTGTCAAAACTCGGATATATGAATGATGAAACCTGTAATTTTGCAACGGCTTTCCATTCTTCAGCCATTCCACAGTTGGGGGAGGTACAGCTGCAACTCGAGCCTCCAATACCATGCAACTACCAGGCTTTAAAGGTTGATGCCTCAACTCTTTAATAAAGAATGGCGCGCACGGTCCTACAGGTGTCTGTGGTGGTGCGGGAGAATTTCTGAATTCGAAGGAAGAATGAAAAGACATCATATCCAGTAACATACACAACTGATTTAGCACCAGGAACAGGAGTGGGAGCTGGAGCAACAATAAGGATGGCAGTGGATTGTTTCAAGCCAGCAGCGTTTGCAGCCTGGAATGATTTTATTTGTTGCCGATATAGATGGCAGCACTGCTCACCTGAGCTGTGAACCTTCCACTATCAGAGCCATTGCATTGTTGAATAATTAACCGATGGTAAACACCATTCTCTTCAACCTTAAAAAACAAAAATTATCATTTTTCATCAAGTTTTTTATTCAAATCAGAAACATTGTTGTTGGTACTTGAAAAGAATGATTTGCTATGCAACAGTTATAATATTTGCTCACAATAGTTCGATGAGTGCTCGTGTCGTTACGAGGCTCTTCAATTCAATCAAAGGTTATATTAAAATATATTTTACAATTATTACAGAAGTAAAAGAAAGTTTTCATGCAGAAAAGTTCAAAAATAATCTCTATGAACTCTTACCTGATAATCGGGACAGTTTGAAACGTTATTTCCATCTTTAAGCCATTTTAAAGCTGGCATAGGATGTCCCTCAACTTGGCATTCCAAGATCACTCGTTCGCCGACCACTGCCCGCTTATCAGCCAAAGGCTAAATATAGAAGTTGCATTTGCTTATTAAAAAAGCTAACTAACTCTGATGAATGTGGGAGGTTTACGGTTATCAGCCCTTTCGCCCAAAGGTTGCTTGAAGGGCATTGTGTAGAACCAACTCTCTTTGCTCCAATTGGTCGTATAATTATGTTTTCTTCGTATTTAAATTAAATAAGTTTTAGTAATAGAAATCAGCCATGCAAGGATACCTAAAATGAATCTTGAGTGATCTGTCAGCAGGAAATACATAATACGATACAATGGAATCGAAGGATAGTGTTAAGAGACAGTTAAGAACTAACTATATGTTAAAGTATAATGAAATTGTTATTAATTGTGAAGTCCACAACTACGATCACGACACGGAATGAATCGACGCTTTCTTGAAGAAGCTGAAGAGATGAACTCTAACCGTCTATTTCTTCAATGAAGAGATTTGCTAGACAAACAGCGAAGAAGATGAAGAAGTAGAGAAGGATTCGAGGCTTAGATCTATCTGACCTCCTCAGATATACAGAAGATGAGAAAATGCTGACAAGGAATAAAAGACAAAGACGAGAATTTTCTTGAAACTATCGTCTATTTGATTCTATTCATAATGTTATGAAAGAGAGAGCTAAGGATGAAGCCTTAGCTTCAAGTGTGTCACCTCGAGAGTTATAAGATGGCATTTCTAATTAACTTTTTCCTGCCGAAATAGTTGTCAACGATTAAAATAAAAAGATGTTATCTTAGAAGAAGGCAGGTGCTGAAACAAATATTTCTTTTTTAAGCTGAAACTGACAGTATTGAAAGCTCGGGTCAACAAAGTGTACCAACTGTTGAGTAGTTTTATCGATCATTTGCATTAAAAGATCGTCAGTAGAGTAAAATGATACAAGGTAACCCTAGTGAGAAGTGAAAAAAAGAAATTAACAAGATCCATCAGAATGCTTGATTTGGGCTGCTCCAGGAGATGTCAAGTAGTCAGTTTGCAGTTCTACTTGCATGCGCTATGATCTACATTGTAAAGTGAAGCTATTCAAGAGAGATATTGATAATGAGAAGGAACTCCTTAAAGCAACAACAGTAATCAATATAGTGACAAATACCGGTAGGGTTAAGAAACAACAAAAATCTTCAGGGAGCTTCCTTATTTCTGTTGTTTACATCGTAAGTGACCGATTGAATTTTCATTGGCAGAGATTTGAAACACATGTTTGCAACTGGTCAAATCAGTATGGAGAAGCCGATTTAAAGATAAAAATCAATAGATATCACTGAGAAGAAATAAAAGTTACATTAAAGTTTATGAAACTATTCGGATTTCAAATTGCAGATTACTACGTAGTACGATTGTAAGTATGCTCTTAAGAGCTCAGTAAGTGCTTAAAGTAAATTTGAAATTAAAAAAATGATTTTGATAAAGCTATATAACTGTCAATTGAATTGTCGAAATAACCGAAACAGGAGAGTTTTATTTGAACCTTAGGTTGAAAGTTGTGATGGTAGTAATGGCTTAACGCCAGTTCACTTCTTGCTATTGTAATATGGAGAGATAGATCTCAACGACCCTCATATCTTTCTCTTCTTTTTGCTCGCTTTTTCTTTTTCTCTTCCACTTTTTTCTGTTAAACTCGTCATCAAAAACTATAAAGTACCTCGTTCAAATCTATTGAACAATGCTATTAAAGGTAAATTCAATTTTTGGAAAGATGATAATTTGAAAAATTTTCAGAAAATTTACAGTGATTGTTCACTTTCTATTGAAAAACTGAGATTTTAATTTTTTTTCCCCATCCTTCAGTCTCTATTTTTTTCACATGTACAACCGATCTCTTGAATATCTGAGTTATAAATGCACACAAGATGTGTTAGCCGTGAAATGCGCCTCACTAGCGCATATTGAATAGGATGTCTGGCAAGGGTGTTTTTGTGTACTTCTTATTGACTTTAATATATAATATTGCTTATTGTCTTTCAGAATGTCTACTTTCTTCCGTGACAGTTCTCAAGAATCAGAATTTCAACATGAACAACAGCTCATTGATATCGTAGCGAGTCAAATTGATACCCCGTCAATAGAATCCATCATAGAAGCTCAGAAAGAAGGGTATCCTAGCAGAAACAGTCTAAAGACTATCTTTACTATGTTACAGTTTGAGACGATTTGAAAAAACTAACGAAATGCTGACGAATTGCAACAAATTAAGTGAGAAACGGTTTGAAAAAGCGAAAAAAGAGTCTATTCAACATAAGGAAACAATTTTACAAGTGCTCATACGCCTCGTTTCTATCCTAATCTTCTGTTTCAGATGAAAGACGATTTAGAATTCATATTTAAAAGAATACGTTTGTTCAAAAGTAGTTTATCGAGTAAATATCCCGAAATATACAAAACAGGTTTGACAAATATTATTATTATAATAATTGATTGCGTGTATGTTTAGTAGAAGCTCAAGTGAATGAACGCTATCCTCAGGAAGAAGAGTAGTGAGATGCCTTGGAAGCTATGACCAGTACAAATTGAATAATTAATGTAAATAAATAAATATTATGAAGAGTCAGAGTCTGAGTATTTCGATTTCTTCGATTTCTTCTCACTTCTGTAAATATGATACAGTTTGGAGACCAACTTATTCACTTACTTCTCTCGTTTTCTCCTCTTATAGTCTGAATCATCACTACTCTCTGAACTATGCCTTCTTCTGAAATTGAATTTAAACTTTTCTCCTGTTCATAGAACGAACCTTTTTCTTCTTGAAGACTTTTCGGAAGAGTCTGAGTCCGAATCATACCTAAGAGAGATTTCTTTTCCAGAACTTTGTATTATCCACTCACCTTTTCCTTTTAGAGCTCTTTTTAGCTTTTTTCTCCTTTTTACTTTTCTTTTCTTTCTTTTCCTTTTTCTCTTTCTTCTCCTTTTTCTCCTTTTTTTCTTTCTTGACTTTCTTCTTCTTGATCTTCTTAGCTTTCTTCACTTAAGAACAAGTTAAGAGGCTTTGAAACCTTGTCTTACCTAGAGGGCTTTCAGTATCTGAGTCTGAGCTGGTTGAACTGATATCTAAAGAATCGGTGCAGTGTGGATCTAGTCTAATCAGATTCCGGCACTTGAAAAAAAATCAAAATAAAATGATTGATTATAGTAACTTACTTGAAAGGTTAAATGCCCAGGGAAACCACATTTTCTGCAAGCACCTGTGACTGCTGGCTTGATAATAGCTTGTCCTTCGGTATCTGAAAGTGAGACATCGAAAGGAACTCTTTCGAATCTATAACGTACCCACAAATGCTGAAGCATCATACTCAGGAGGAGCGGAAGTAGAATCCAAATCGGCTAACGTTCTCTTTTTTAACATCGAGGTTGAAGGTTGCAGTCCAGAATCTTTACCCCCAAACGCTCTCCGGAAAGGCATAGGTTCGAAGTTGGCGTTCGACATCTATAATCATATAACGTAAACTTCAGAGTTCTTTTGTATATAACATCTATCAGAATCTGTTATACACCAGGTGAAATGCGGAAAATAAGAAAGAATAACACAAGTATTGATTAACGAACATTAGAAGCGAAACCTGTCGTTTATTGCCCGGATGTTTGAAGCCATCATCAGGTGACTCAAATAAATACCAAAGCTCTAATATCTTATATTTCTCAATTTTTAATCACACATTCATTTACGAAAACCAGATAGTTTCGGTTGTTCGAAAGCTGTACGCAAGTCCTTATGAGGTTTGGGTGCAAGCTTTTCGTGCTGACGTCATCTCTTTTTTTTCAAAATCTTCAATTGATAAGCATCATTTTCATCTTTTCTTCAGAAGCCTTAATGATTTTCTTGAACAAGGAGTAATACAGCATGGCAGACATGCAATTTAAATCTTTCGAAGAGTTGAAGAAGCATAGTGATTTGACTAAAGAATTACTTATAAAGCTAAAAAATTCGCCATCTGAAACGTAGGTTCTTTCTTCAATTTCATTTCAACCTTTGCTTTTAAGTGTGTACAACTCTTTTACAAGTCTTGCTGAGAAAGGCCTTGATCAGAGGAATAACTTAGAAAAGAGATTAGTATTTCTGTTCCGTGCTGGAGCTGTAGCATCAATCCTATGCAAAAAAGCAGATTTTGAAAAATTCAAAGATAAGAAAGGCGTGAGTTTCTATATTATTATGAATTTCTCTTTCAATGATACATTTAAGCAAGTTTTTTACCTGAAGTACACAGATTGTGTTAATGAAATCGATAAGTTATCGCCTAGAGTAGGGCTATTATACGATGACAAAGCGAATAAGCGCGAACCGCAGATTATTCCTAAGAAGGAGCCTATACCAAGTTTCCCCATTTAAAAGATAAACGCTTACATTGTTTCTTTTCAGAAGTTGTTCCTGTTAAGAAGTCGTCACTGTTTATTGGACCAAAAGAAGTTGTAGGAGCTGTGATAAATGAGAAAAAATGTGTGGTGAGTCGATGCATGAGTTGATGTTCTTCTCATTTATGCAATTCATAGGTTGTGTTCGATTATCGTTTGGATAAATCACGAACCATTGCTGGTTTGAATTTTCCAAACTTCATTGTGATATCTGTGGATAATGGGGTGATTGTTAAAGGGTAGGCCCCTCTTCATTCAATCTTAATCTTGATATAATTTTTTCCAGGCTTATATTCAATAAATTGAGTACACAACTTCCTGTAGGTCAGAGACCTTTACTACCGAAGGTTTTCGAAGCTGATCTTATTGTTTTTATGGAAGAAAGAGATCCTACCATAGAAAACGGGAATTTGGTAACGGGTACGAAAGCAGATATTTTAAGGAGAGCCGTTACTCAAGTAAGATTTCAACTCAAACTTCAACTCAGAATGTTTTCTATCCTATTCAGTATCACCCTCATCAAAAGAAATTAGGAGAAGATAAAGGCCCTTTCATATTGAAAGGCGGTTTTGATAACTTCAAATTGACTTACCCTACGTACATTTCTTCTGATCAGCAAAGTATTAACAAAGCTGATCTAGATGAAGTACAGCTGTGTATTAATGATTATAAAAGTAAGCTCAACTCTCAGTTCTTTTCTCATACTCTGGGTCTACAGATTCGGTGTCTCACTTGGTATATCCCGATGTTTCTTTGACGAGAGAAATTTCCCACAAAGGTTTTTTCTCAATACTATAGGTATTTAACCTTTTTTCACAGATGTTCCACCAAAGCAAGAACCTTCTAAACGGAAAGAAACAACTTTTGACATCAATCCGAATGCTCCTTCTTCTGCTTTTGTAGTCAGCCACCCTAAGCCTGGTAAGTGTGTACGATACTCCTTTGTTATAACCTTTGTTTTGTTGCTGTTCCACCACGTACGGTTACTCCTTCATGGGATACTCGGCCTGCTAACTTACCCAGCAAGCAAGGTATTGGTAGACTTAGAGAAAATTTTGTTAATAACTTACTTAGACCTAGTAATAGATGAAGTGAAACCTCCTGTTCCGAAACACTCCCCTCCCCCTAATGAGCCTCCCGCTAACAGTATGTCTATCTAAAGTGCGGTTCATTCCACGGGTAATTTTTCAGAACCTTCCGTCCTTCCTCCTGGACCTTCTATTGATAGAAGTAGTAAACCTAACATTCCTGAACCTCGTCCTCCGAAAACAGATGCTCGACCACCTCCTCGCAACAACAAGTTAGTTATTCTTTTTTTCTATTTTATTACAATTTTCTTGTACGACCGGTCGCATACAGTCGATATGCGTTGAAGATTTGAATGTTTTGTGATTTCTTAAAAATTTTACTCGCCTATTTCTTTAAAAGTCGTCCGTATTATAGTGTGGTTGCAACGATTGACAGAAGTACGAAACCTCAAAAGATGAGGTAAGTTAACTGCTCATAAATTCATTCTTATTCGTGAATTTTCAGTACTGAAGATGAAAGTCGATGCCTAGAAATATATGACAAGATGTATAAATTCACTGCCGAGGATTCTTCTCGTAGGTCTGGACCAAGCAGAGGAAACGTAAGCGTTTTCTTGACTTTTTCTTTAACGTTTCATATGTTTAGCAAGGCTTTACTGGTCTCTTTAATACTGGAAATACTTGTTTCATGAATGCGTCTCTCCAGGTATGACATTCCGCAAGCTCCAATCGCATCCTTGCAAATTTTCCAGGCTTTAATTCATACACCTGAGCTCGTGAGGTTGTTCACCAGAAAAAACTTCATGACCGAAATCAATCCGTAAGATTATTTCTTCTGCAGAAGTACTAAACGGTTTTGTTTAAGGAAAAATCAGTTTGGAACTCGAGGAATAATATCTTCCGTGTTCAGTGCTTTACTCGATCTGATGTGGAGTGGAGAATATTCTGCCATTCGACCAAAGAAGTTTTTGGTAAGCGCAACACCAGAATATTTCAGCAACTCCTCTCACTTCAGAATACTTTTGCATCTGAAGTTAACTCAACATTGGCAGACGGTCATCAGCACGATGCTTCAGAGTTTCAAATTTTCTTATTAGATGCCTTACACGAAGATACTAACTCGGTATGTTTTTTTTTCAAGTCCTAATAAAATCTCTAATTCATTGAAGGTGTACCACAGAGTGTCGTTTGAACAAAATTATAAAGGAGGTGCTAGAATAGCAGAAGAGGCTGATGATTACAATAAGAAAAGTCTTAGATTTTCGAATTCCCCTATTAACCGAATCTTCAATGTGAGTTTGTTCTTCTCAGCGCTCTAGCATTTTTCCTTTTAGTTGCAAACTGTTTCCGAACTTTCATGCCAGAAATGCCATGATCGCTCAGTAACCTTCGAAGACTGTAGCTTGATAACCGTTGAGTTGCCTCAAAATTCTCGCCATACTTCTCTTGAAGATTGTCTCAGCAGGCATTTTTCAGAATCTGTAAGTTCTCTTCATTGATCTGCTGTCTGACAGTATATTTTCTACAGCCCTTAGACGATTGGAATTGTCCAAAGTGTAAATCCAGGCAAATGGCGCAACGGATAACGAAGCTGTGGAAATTACCTTCTGTTCTTGTATGACTTGTGGTTTAGTTTGAACTTCTTTATGTTTCATCTCTTCAGGTGGTGCACTTGAAACGTTTCTCAATTGTGAATGGAGATTACGAGAAAAACGACATGTATGTATCCTTTGAACCGGAAAAGTTGGATTTACAAGTATTCCTTCATGGAAAAGCCAGTTGGAGTCAGGGATGTCAATACAGGCTCTATGCCATTACTGTATGTGTGTTTGAAATATTACCAACTTGAAAAATATTCAGAACCACCGAGGAAGATTGAGTAGAGGGCACTATACAGCACTGGTTGCTCATGCCACTACTGGAGAATGGATGAGAATGGACGACGACATGGTGTCACCTACCACTTGTACTCGTTCAGATGTAAGTTCCATACAGTTCAACGTTGATAACGGAAGTTCTTTGCAGTTAGGAGATGCATATATACTATTCTATAGAAAGATGTCTTGAGAAATGCTCGAATACGATGTATACGGGCAATGTTTGTGAGCTTCTCGATTTTGGTTTGAAAGCATTCTACCTATTTCCGGCGCTAATATTGTATATTATATACTATAATTGATTAATACTTATGCTTCATTATTGTGGAAATAGGCTATTGACGAGTTTGTAGAGCATATTTTACTTTGGGTATGATTGTGATAAATAGAGATTTTGTAGAAATACATATTTATATTCTAACAAAGGTCATTGTTTTATCTTTTTTTTCTGCTTTCTTCTGCTCAACCTAAATATTTTTGATGCTGCTGGTCATTTCTGATCTCTCACTTTCTCTCATCGTTTTCTCTTTTCTCTTTCAAACATGGTGTAGAAGGCTACGAGGGGGTTATAGAACATTTGGATACTTCTTTCTTCTTTGTTAAAACCTGATTCCTTTTACGTAATTCCGGATGCAACATTGAGAAGCAGGTGGCTAAGAAGCGCTAAAGATTATCTCCGATGCTTCCAATGATTATGAATTCGAAATATGATGTTGCTCGTTACGAGATTTTTTCCTATTCAGAGGTCTTCTCATGGAATTTTTGAGAATGTGGGAGGGGTGTCCAGAGGCGGAGACAGGTTGGGTGTGCGATGTGAGAATGTTGACGTAAAGGAGACCAGCGACGTCGATTGCAAACCTGCTACGTTTAGTCCAGGACCGTCCACCTGCCCATATATCTTCTATCTATGTCTGTAGAAATTCATTTTTTTTATTCTTTCCTATGATAAGTTTCAATTCATGCAGTTACCTTGTCCTTTTTGGCCGCTTCGATTACTGGTGAGGTGGGAATAGAAGCAGAGCGTTGAGTAATGAGCTCTACTGAATCGAAGCAGCTTCTACAAAATTGTTTCACCTTTTACTATGATAGAAGAACCTGAAGATGACAAGGTCATTGAGTTGTTATCTACACTGTTTCTTTTATCATTCCTTTCATAGCTTTAAAGTTTTAATTTGGTTAAAAAGTTTTTATGACTTCTTCAACGAATCTCTCTTCCACAGCATCGCATAAGACTGAATGTTGAAGAGAGTTTCCGAAAAGCTAATGGAGAGGTCTTCAACACAATGTACTCATGAAAATCTATTGTTTACCATAATTAACGATGCACCACCGTCAAAGGAAATAAACTGTCTTGTTCAACCGGTTTGAAAAATCTTCCTCTTCAAATCGAAATCAGATTCTGTATTCTTTTTTCTATTTTATGCCTTTCATATTGAATAAATGAAGAATAGAGCTATAATACAAGTTTCTTTCATTATTTCATCTGAATCCATTTAAATTCGCTCCTTCTATACCTCACGATAGTAGAAAAACTCTGGGCGACATATTTAATCAAGTCGTGTTGAAGTTCTTAACGAATATTACTTCAATCCAATTTAAGATTTCCGGTTCCCTCATTGCACGTACGTACATCATGTTCTGTCCATTTTACGTTTTAATTGCGGGAATAACCTTCCAGATTTTAATAACTCCATCGTTCTACTTACAGGACATATAGCTTGAGAAATCAGTTCATTCTGTTTACCATCCTTAGAGGGTTATTCGAAAACTTAAACGATGTCCATCAACTTAGTCAGTTTCTCCCTTAGCCTCAATTATATGAGTGTCCAGTTATTACAGATAGATACTTGTGCCTCTATACCAGTCTTATAAATTGTATATCTGCTGTGCTTGAAATCTTCGTATGTTGTTTCTCATATCTAATTCCTTATTTGAACATGCCATCTCAAGTATGTTTTGCCTGTATATAACGAAGTATAGTTTAAAAAAAACTTGCATTCATGGCAGACGCCATATAGAGCTTCCACGGACATTAAACCATTCTTGTTCATACGTACTAACGGAACGGTTGTGCTTTTCTTTTTCTCTCCTCTTTCTTGCATTTTGGGACTGCATTGGTTTTCCGTGCTTTCTGACTTTCAGTCTCTATCATCAGTTTCTCTACTGATTGTATCTGCTCAAAACTATTTTGTTAATTCTAATCAAAGTTTTTTTTGATGTTATGGCTGAGATTATGATAGCGAAAGTGAGAATTAGCATTAAACTAAGTGAATGATCAGCAGGTTGCAAACTTTCCGTCTTTTTTTTGACCACCAACGTTACACTTTCCCTATCGGGTTTCGTCGATTTTTTTGTAAGTTCACACCATCATTCCATATATAGGAGTCGGCTTCATACCCATATCATCCTAATCCTAACCATAGTTCATACAGATGTTCTCAGAATAGACTTATAAGATTATATTCGCATTTTTGGTTCTCTTTCTCATTCACCTTACTTGGATGAATATTTTCAGATGAGGCACCAGTTAACCACAGCTTTTTTTCTGGCTGTCTGTGCCGTAGTTTGCGTGTATTCGCAAAGATCTCGTGAGTTACTCAATAACTAACCTAATTACCTTTTATGTGTTACAGGCAGTCAATCAGCAGTCATTGCTGATTTGGGAAAACTTATCGTGGATAACTGTCCACCTATGCTTTGTACGGGATTGGACTGTGCTGTAGTCACAGAAAGAAATGGCTGTCAGGTATGAATTTTTAAAAATTTTGAAGACTTTCGGAATGAGACAGAATGAGTTGACATAGAGTCTATTTTATGAAATACAAGATATGTAAGTGTATGATTAGAAGAGATAGTGGATAATGATGATGATGATGAATGAATGAAAGCGATCATTGCTCGTAAAAACTGTTGATCATCAAACAGCTTATCCCCCCCCCCCTTATTTAGTTCGTGATAAAAGTGATAAATACATGCCCAAACGACCCCGTTCGAACGCGTTTTTTCCTGTAGTTTACCTGATGAAAGATGACCCCAATTATAGCTTGATTTTAATGAAAGATAATAGCTATCAAACCTACCTACGTTCCGCATTCAAAATATTGAAAATGGTCTGCTGAAATGAAAAAGATTGAAAAACGGGACATAATATCGCAGATTAGGATGAGATGAAAAAAAAAGTTTTTTTTGTCTCATCAAATGTGATGTGATAAGTGTGTCTACACCTTTCTCCAATGAAGTTGTATGTGATTTAAAACAATTTTTTTTCTTCGTTGCAAATCACTTTCGCTGAGATATAATGACACACATGGACTATCGTGCAATATCAATGTCTTCTGTTGTACAAACAGATTACATCTAGATAGATGAGCCAAAGAAGAGTTTTATCTATTGCTTACATATTAGCTTCTTACATGCAACATCTGGACGGTCCAGTTTCTTTTGATATTTTTGAATGATTACATCATTGCCATGACTGGAAATATTCAAATGAAAATCTGAGATTGTTCAATTATGACCTGTTTTGTGAAAGCCACTGAAATTTCAAATTATATTCATCTGGTCAAGCCTGCAGCTACTTCCAAAGATGATAAAGAAACAAGACTTACGAAACACGGAAAAAGCTAATAACTTGCTATGGTGAAAAATCTTTTCATCATCAGCAACGATCTCATTGAACGTTTCAAATGTGTTGAGGAAATAATAGAATGCAAGATGAATTCCATTATAACTTTCTTTATGTTAACGTCTTCTATTACCTCTGATCTACAAATTAAAGAAAACTCTCCATTCAGTTATGTGCCTGTCCAATTGGATCTCCAGCTAGAGGCTGCGACCCTATGCCATTCATTTTGTGGCACGATCTCATCGTCAATGGATGCCCTAATGTTACTCTAAACAGCCGTGATCCAGCTCAGAAAGTTCATCGGTGGTTCCGAAGGGTAAGTGAACTTTACATGATAAAAGGAAGAAAAAAATTTTCTTTTCTTCTCAGGTGAACAGATTCTCGAACACTGATCAATGCGAACCATACATCTTCCCATACTGTCCAGAATTAGATTTCAACCTTTGGAGATCTCCCCGCACCAAGCAGGTTTTTTTGTTCAAAAATTAAATGTTCTCATCCATTATATGTTTTAAAGGAATGTGAGTTATACTGCTATTCAATTGAAGAACAAAGAAAGAGAGGAATCATCTAAGTGAAAGCAGCTTTGATTTAGAAGAATGTGTACCATAACTTTATTTCATTTTAATTTTTAAAAATTAAAGTATTCACAAAGACTAATATCATGTCAACGTAAAAGTTGTTAATCTCACTTCTTATGTTCTGATTCAATTAATTAATAAAAATTTTTTTCAATTTTGACAGTTGGTTCGTTGAAATGGCACAAAACGCATTTGACTCAGATTATCTGTACATACAGTCGTGGCCATTAATGTTCGTCACCCTATGGGTTGACGAAAAAAATAAATAAAATTTTTAAATTTAAAAAAATTTCAAAATGTGGGGGGGGGGGGTTTGAAAAAAAAATTTCAGGCTTTGTAGATCAGAACTGCCCGTCGCGGAAAGTCAAATTGAAGGAAGTTATGAAGGTTTAAGTGAATGTCAAATATGGCTTACATTTAAATGCTTATAACTTTCTTCAATGAGCATGGATTCGGATGATTGTTTTCGTAAAAGATACAGAAAAATATGGTCTTCAATTTAAGGTATGACTCAAGTACATACATGATAGATGAATATGAATACCACATGCCAAGAACGTAGTTGATCAAGTTATGCAAAACTCTGAGAACTATGTGTTATCATGTACAGAAGCACAACCGAAAACTTATTCGTAAGTGGAGAATGAATTTGTTAAGTTATCTTCATTCATAAGTAGTTAGTCGAAATGATCGGTGGTTCCTAGACTAATGACTGGTATAATTTGTCTTCGTGTTTGGAAAGATGCATCAGGCCCCATGGACTATAGAGAAAGTTATGTAGTGAAGAATGAATGTTCGCAACAAAACTCCAAATGGTTTAGAAAATAAATATGGAAAAAACAATGAAAACGAGATTAGGTATTATCAAATATGAATTTTTGTTTGTGGTCGTGGTCGTATAAACGGTAGTAGTTGTTTCCATAGCTCTTGTCAGAGAATTATTTTGAACGGATGTAGACGATTGAATAGGTGTTGAAGGTGAGCTGGGTGACGGGCTTGACGGTGATGAACCCGTGGTTTTTGGAACATACTGTGTGGTCTTTAATGATGAT